TTTGACTTTTTAAGTTATTTATAGACCACTGAAATTTGCGCACATGGCACATACCTATAAATATTTTTAGGTAAGTTACTTAAAATAGRATAAAATGTTAAACGAATAAGTACTATGGCGTGCCAAGAAAATGTTTCGTGCCTACAATTCAAATTTTCAAGGGCCCATGAAAATATCTGCCCCTGGCCTCGGACAACATCCCGCCAGTGCTGAACTGAAGTAATTGTAATGTACTGCTATTACTACATAATTTTAAAATCAGGAGGTTTTATAGATTGTAGTCTCTAGTCTTAGCTATATTTAGTTTAAGATGTTTTGTCCAATATTCATAGTATGTATTTATGTACTATTTAATTTTATTGTTTTTTTGAAATGTGTCTGCGGGTGGCGGGGTGGCCACATGCCCCTTATATATATATATATTGTTTACATTTTAAATTAACAGCTCTGAAACCTCTGATCGTTATAATAAACTAATTGTGATGATTATCTGGAGGTTTTAGAGTGCGGTCGTCTTCAAAGTATGTAATTTTTTTCTTCTTAAAATGCGTTGTCAGGGATCACTGTTAAGGAGCCAATTCGGATGTCCCTCGTTCACTATATTTTGTTCCGCTCTGCAAATAGTAGCAGGTAGGTCGTAGGTGTCTCGAAAATTCCCACATGTGCAACAGGTAGTAGCATTTTTTCAGGTCGTGGATTTTGTTGTCCTGCTGGGTAGGACAAGATTGCGAACGGTTCTTATCAATCGTATTRAAGAACACGATTGTGAACGTTTTTACCTGYAGTTAACTTTCATGATAGGTACTGCATCGATTTGTTACAAACTATAGTGACGTTTAAAAAATACTCATAGTATTAAAATAATAAAATGTATATATTTTTATAAATAAATTAATTAATTAAAAGATATTAGAAGGCGAAAAACACATTATTCATAAATTATATAACTTTACTAACCATATTAAATAAGTACACTTTGACTTAAAAAAGATGAGCAAGTGGGTACTGCTCTGTTTACAATAGTTTTCGAGCATGTATTGTAGTAATGGATGTGTTATATTTGTATTCAATAATAAATCATTGCATACGAAAACGATTCTGTTTGGAGATTGCGGTATATTAATGTAATACTAACATTTTTAAAAATTGCATAATATTAATAATCAAATTTAAAAGTTAAAAAAAAAATTTGACAAAAATTTAAATATATCTCATGGTTATAAATAGCATAACATTGCAGTGAACTTTTTTTTTTATAGAGAGAAAAACTCCTAGGGAATCTATGAAAAAAAAAACTTTTATGAATTCCTGACTAAGTAATCATTTATAAACTTTGAARTAATCCTCAAAGTTATAAATAACTCAAAAAGAGTTTTAAAAGATTAAATAATATTATTATGCATGAGGTGGATTATTTTGTACCAGCCCTGTCGCCTTAGATGGGAAGTGGAGATATATAATATGACATAAACGGTGATCATGCTGTTAATATTGCATATTGTAAACAATTTTATTTATYGAAAGAATTCTAGTTCAGTTGAGTTAAATTGAATATTATCGAATGTTAGTTGTTTATTTATGCCATTTTTACTCGACTCGTTGACGACTAACCTTATTACCTTTATTCAAGACAAAATTTACATTCGACATATATATTGATTTTTCAAAATGTACGTATTCTTAAGTATCTAGCGTAATTATATTTTATGGTTAGGAGAATAAYACAACRCTTTTTTTCTGGTTTGGCGGGCTAAAAAAGGTCGATTTTTTAAAAAGCTGAAATAATAAACAAGCAACAAGTATAATATATTATTGTAGATATTTGTATAGCTTAAATTTTATAATTTTGAGATTTGAATAGTATCTGGTAATAGTGTGGCACAATTTAATATATACAGTGATATAATACCATAATCATTAAAACTTAAAATCATACAACAATAATTATAACAAATAATAATAATATGGTATACCTAAATAGGTGTCTTCAGCTGCAGTTTTTGTTGTTGTGTGTACGGTGTACCGCACTACCACCGGTCAAAATGGTCTCTTATCACTTATTATCACGACGCTGATACGAAATTACGAAAAAAAAAATAATTAAAAATAATTAAAATGAATTAAAATGAATTTTTTCGTCAAATATAATAACAAATTACTTAATTATTTATAATAATACAACATACAACAAGGCCGTGAGTGCCGTCTGGTCGTGTAACGATGGGTGCTACGGCGGCGAACGAACCGAAATCGGAAATTTCAAATTATGTCAAGTTGAACATCGGTGGGTCGTTATTCTACACGACTGTGACGACCCTCTCAAAACTTGACTCGAAGCTACGCGATATGGTGCTGTCTGAAGCGGCTCAAAATGCTGAAACATTGGAATCTGAAGGTATTGCAGTCTTGTCGTTTAATGTCTGATTGTTATTGATTATAATATTTTGTAATTCAATGGCTATAGGCGCACCCGATTTATGTATTTTTGTTTTCCCCCTACAGGATGGGTGTTTATCGACCGTTGTGGCAAACACTTTGGCACCATACTCAACTTCCTGCGAGACGGATCTGTACCATTACCCGAAACATGTGTAGAGATATCCGAGATACTGGCCGAAACAAAGTACTACGGCATTACTGAGCTGCACGACGCATGTGAACAGGCGTTGCAGAAGAAAAGAAACGGCAACACAAACATAACGTGGGTCACATTGATAACGTCCCAGACTGAAGCCCAGAAACTGATATCCGTATCGTCAAAGGTATTTGTTTCATTTTGATTTTTCATAATAATTTGTTGATACTTTTTATTTGAATTTAACCTACATCACTTTAAATTTTTTTTTCAACTAGCCGGTAGTGAAATTTGCGATTAACCGTCACAACAACAAATATTCATATACAGGGTATGTTTGTGTATGACTATGTTTTATTAACAAACCGTAGGATTAATTACGGTGAGTTTGTTACACAACAGGGCATCGGATGATAATCTATTGAAAAACATTGAGCTGTTCGATAAACTGGCAGAAAAACATAGAGATCGCGGTTTATTCATTAAAGATGTCATTGGATCAAACGAAATTTGTTGTTGGACATTTTATGGTCCTGGGGGAGCTGTAAAAAAAGTTGCTGAAGTGTGTTGTACTTCAATAGTGTATGCTACAGACAAAAAACACACAAAAGTAAGACTTATATTAATTTTAACCTTTACTCACATTTCCAATGTTCATAAAACATACAATAACCTGTGAATTTTATTATAGGTGGACTTTCCAGAGACTCGTATACTTGAAGAGACCATGAACGTGATGCTATTGGACACACGGATCAACAAGTCTGTACAGGAACACGAACTAATTGAGGCCACTTCAAGTTCAAATGGAAATTGTCGTTGCTCGTGTTCAAGTCAATGGTCAGATGTACAGTGGGATAACAGTACGGCCAGCACATTATAGAACAAATGAACACTATGTATGTTCACTTTTAAATAATTGTTATGAGACAATTTTTTTTATCAAAAAAGTCTAACTTATAATAGTTCCCTGTAAATGTTTGACTGCTATAACTAAACTGATGAATATCTTAGCATAATTTTTTACAAGAAAATAGCAACCCTAATGATTAAGATTACATAAAAACTTATATTATTATTTTTTATTATTAATAAAAGCCTCGGCATCTATGCCATTGGCGACTACAGATTTATGGAGTTACATTGGAATGAAGTTTCTTAATATTAATATACAATTATTTTATAGATGGTTGATTAAATTAGAATTGATTATGAATAAAATCGTGTTCTGGATGTTGGCTGGCTGAAGGGCTTCGGCGAGAATGGATGGTACTCCTGCTTCCCGTTTTTCCATCTCAAATTGGCGGCATTAAGTTATGATGTGCTTGATTGTGAGCTGTGTGCCACAGCTTGTACAAATAGGGGGATCTTCCCTCTTCATCAGATGTTGATGTGTTAACGATGAGT